GGGCGAGCGGCCGCTGCTTCTCGCTGCCTCATCGGGCGCCTTTGAGGTCCTTCCGACGGCGGGCGGGCGCGCGGCCGGCCCGGAGGCCTGGTGGGATCAGCGGCGGCCCCTCCCCATTCCCCGGGGCGGCTGGGGCGAGGGAGCAAGTTCGGGACTCGGGGTGAGCCAGGCAGGGCTAATCCAGGCGGTGGCGGCGTTGCGGGCGCCTCTGAACGCGCGAGGACGAAGCGTCAGACTCCACTGGAAGTTTTCGGGACCCTCTTTGACCCCTCCGTGAAGGTGCCCCAACTCAGGCGGTTCGAAGAGGGCTGGGCTAGGCGGGGCTTTGGCTAGAACGGCCACGCGACCGATGTAAGTTGTAATACGGAGTAGTTCTTGATTCGAATTAGACCGACCTGTACTCCCCGCGTGGTTCAGCGCCTGGGTCTCAGCGGAACGGCCTGCTCCCAGGAACATCTGCCCGCCCGCGCTCTCTTCGGGGACTGCCCTTGGCAGCGAAGGGCTGCCTTGCCTCGCTCTCCCTCCTCGACTCGGACAGTCTGTAGATCTCGATTGTCCCCTCCAGCCTGGGGGCAGGGCTGTGCAGGCAGTTCTCCTGCCCCATGAGCGTCCTCTGTGGTTTAGAGGCCTGGCTTCTTAGGGATCTATCGTGATCTGTGATTTTTAGTAATGTTACTTGTATTTGATCAGTGTTGCTATTACTGTTGTCTCTTCTGACCTGAACGATGGATCTGAGGAGTTGTGCACCCCTCAGAGTCAGTCACTGGAGCAGCTTCTCAGCCCTGTAAGTAAAGAAATAAGCAGACAACCCCTTTTCCTATTCCAGAACCCAACACAGTCAGCCGGTCAGCAGAACTGGACCGCCCCATCACCTGGGCCGGGCGCCTCCCCCTCGCGATGCTCAACGGGACCAGCGCCACAGCAGAGCTGGGTAGGCTGGGAGCGTGGGCTTCCCGGGGCTGCCCTGAGTGAGTGTCGCAGCAGAAGCCTTGGTGGTGAGGTAGCCCAGTCAGTGAGCATGCCAGGGAGGTCACCTGGGCCGGCGGGGGGGGG